TTTACTTTTTCTATACACTGACACTTGAACCCATCTGACATTCATATCGTATGAATATTACGCCACCAAGCTCATGCGTAGCGTCAAACCAACTACTTTGGCTAATATTCAATGGTTTTGATTGGCTGAATTTCTTGCGGACAAAAAATATAAATTCCAGAAAATACAAGGGTTCTTCGGACTACTAACAAAGCCAATCTAAGTATATTAATTTTGGATAACAAAACAATATTAGTGTTCTTGATAACACAACGGATAGACAAAATTTGCCAATGAATCCTAGTCAGGAAATATTTTTTTCTCAAAAAATACCCTTCATGGAGGGAAAAAGCCCGCTCTTGCTAGTGTATTTTTGTCTCTTCATTTTTTTTGCTTCAGTCTTGCATGTTTCACTTCTAATTCTTCATACTCCCTTTGTAAATATTTTAGCTTCTTTTTTTTTTTTTCAGAATTCTTGATTATAGTATAGCATAAATTTCTCTTCCATTGTCTCAAAGTTCGAGGTCTATCCACTTAAAATAACCACGTGTTTAATGATTCCATAACAAAGCAAAGCATAAATTTTTTAAAATTATTTTATCTAAAAGTTAAAAAAGACATTAATTTATCATACAAATCATACCTTATAATTTGAACATCCAAGAAATTTCTTGGTGTCCATGGCCTTCTTAAGGTGCTAATTGACCGCATCCACAAGTTTCTTAATTTGGTTCTGATAGATGCTATGACGAATAACATCTAAAAGAAACACAACAAAATGAATTTGAAAACATCTGGGACTTTTTTCCCCCTTTTTTGCTGCAAATATATAAGACTTGAAAGTTTAAAAGCTTTTTTTGTTGAATGATGAAATTATAACAGAAATATTTTTGGTCTTGGGAGGAGACTTTTCTTTATATACAATAGATAGGGGCATTTTCGTCAAAAAAATTGAACATTTTAAATGGGTCATTTTCATCTACCATGATATTTTAACGGGTCGTTTGCTGAGCTGGATTGTATAGGATAAAAGTGCCAAAAAATACTACTCCCTATAAGGGGATTTTAAGGGTATTTTTCGTGATTTTCCCTATAATTTGTAGCGTTCGTAAAATACTTGCTACTTGTATTATCCGTATCTTTATCCTTATACCATCACAAGCGCTATTAGTAATTACTGCTCTCAAGTCTTCTCCGGCCCTGACAACCGCCGGAAACTTGACGGAAACAATTTGAATCTATTTCTAGGGCCTTGGTTACCTCCGAAATCTTCCTGAAGACATCGGATACAAATTCTTACAGCATTATACTTCTTCGTTTTCCCAGGTACGCTCCCCCCCCCCCCTTTCCTCCTGTCTCTCATAAAAGTAGTTATTTGAACAATGCATTTCTTCTGTTTGGAGTGGTTTCGTCATTAAATTCTGCAATTAATTATGATTTTCCCTTTTTCCCCTGCACCTCCATTTGGAACGTAAGAGTTGTTAGCATTGCCAAAAATTCACGCTTCCATGTCGGTGATTTTAATTGCGCCAAATTTCATATTGTTTTCAGGTTATGAGTAACTGCAATACTAGGTTGCTTAGCCTAAAATCACGCTCGTCATGATACCCCTTTGTTGTACTTAATACATTTTCTAATAGCATCTATTGCCCGTCAAAGAACGTCCCTTTCAATATGCTGTACTACTAATTGAAAAAGAAAATGTCAACAGTAGAACTTCTCAAGTACTGTTAAGCTCATTCGTTTAGCTATATGCCTGGTTTTCTATTAACTAAAAATTGCTTAGGGGAGAGGAAGGGGAAGAAGCCTGGAGGAATGGGGGCATACTTTTTCTGATCGTCATTTTGAACTTGTTCACTTTGCATTTTCATAAAAGTTAATGCAGCTGAACTTGTTGATATCAAACACACGACCATCCCGTAAATACAGTGTAAAGTAATGTCCATCTGTTTAATAGCGCAAGACTGATTTCTTTTGTTTGGGCGGTTATTTTTTCAATAGCGTTTTTTTTATTGATTCAGTGCCCATCTTGAATCAGTTTCATCAATATGTCTATCGAACAAAAAAGTTTCATCAATAAAACGACTTGCTTATTCAAGATCGCAGTTCTTTTTGATAGGTTACTTATTTTTTGTTGCTTACACGGCTTTTGGTGTTAGATAACAGTAAGAATAGTGTGGGATTTAAATAAGGCTAAGGGCATTGGTTAAAGGTTTAAGTCATGAACTTTTTCTGCAGCAAGTTGGACGTTGAACTTTTCTCCAATTATGTCATTCAAGGAGTCGGCATGCAAATTATGATTTGTACTAATTGGTCGTTATGCTTTTCTCCATTGTTTTTGTGTTTGGTGATATCTACTCACCGAAGTTTGTGTTGGATGTTCCTTTCCTGAGTATCATACATGGATTGTTGCTCTGGTGAACTGTGGAGATCACCAACTCAGACAGATTTGATATCTTTTTAGACGGTTAAAGATTTGAAATTCCTATTATTATTTGTTTTTATTTCCTCATCATGTTGACCCCATTTGACTTTTTGCACCATTAAAGAAGCAGTACTTCATTATCATTTGATTAATTTCCATTGATTGGTTTCCAATTCAGTTTTTTAAACTTTACAACCTCAAATTCAGTGAAGCTGTTAGGAGTTCTTGTCACAAACTCTATACCTTGACTAATGCATGAAGTCTCTTCTAGAAACAGGTAAAAGAAATGCTTTACACCATTTGAAATATTCCAAAAGGGGATTAAAATAAATGATGAGTGCATATCATAAGTCAACTAGTAATGTTTTGGCTTGTCAAAGGATTGGAATTATCCTTGCTGAACCGTGGGAGACATTACTTGATATGCCTACCACTGTACTACCTTATTAGTAATTCTAGCCCTGATTTCCAGGGAAGAAGTACCTTTTTTGAGGGCCTTCTTTTCTTCCTTTGGTAAATCTGAAAGATTCCTGATGTACTGTGTCACTACTTTGTCTTTACATCTTTGAATTTACTTTCCCCCCAGTGTATCAATGCGATGAGTCTTCTTCTCCTTCTCCTTTTTTTGTGGCCCCACTCTTAGATGAAGATTGCACTTAAAAAAAAAAATAAAAATTGCACAGGCTATTTGACATAATTTTGGGATGAATTAGTCTGAATTTGGTGTATTATGCGAACTAGAGTAAAGAAGACCTGTTTCTAACTTTGTGCCTTATATCAAAATGTCATAGAATTGCTGAATTTTATCTAAAGCAGTCGCTCAAGGTGGCTTTGGAGCTTCAAGAAATGATAATTAGATTCTTGGCTTGACATATTAGATGACAGTCCAAAGATGGAGTTCTTTTCCCATTAAGCTGAAAATTGGATAGAGGAAGTTAGAGAGATCTTGAATTGCTCGTGGACTCCTTGTACTTCTACTGTGGTTTGGGTTTGATGGTTGGTTTTGGTAATGCGAACATGTTATCTTTAGCTGCTTTTTCCTAATTTCTCTAGTATCTCCATGTAACTTAAGGAACAAAAAAAAGCATATGAATCCTCGCAATCACTGATGTACTGGTTCCTTTGTTATCAATCTCAGCAGATAAACTAAACACAATAGAAACGTATCAATCCCTTGCTGGTTTCTGATTTCTAGTTTCTAGTTGATTTGCATTGGAGTATTTGGTAGATTAAATAAGTGCTAAATTCGTCTGAAGAGCTCTTTTCCCTGTTGATGTTCCTCTGTTGTAGATGGTGTTGATCTTTTAGTATTACTGCGCTTCTTTTGGGACACCTTCAGAATTTAGAGTCTGATGTACATCTTTATGGCTTAGGCACAAACCATATTAAGCATAACGTCACAGCATAAGTCTAAGTGCTTTTCTCTTGCTTATAAAGCATAATTTTACATGTCCACACATTAAGTAGGATTCTGGAACCCAACCCAGAGAGGTTTATTTTAAGCGTTAACTTGTAACACCTGACTGCCACGCACTTCTACAGCACTAGGATATGGTAGTTAACATAGGCCAATTTTGATTGCGAGTATGTGCTTCAACTCGCCCAATTTTCCATGTTTGCAAATTGCAGGTGATTGATGGACAAAAATTACAGCTTTCCAGGGGTTTGGTTTGAGTACGTACATTCAGAAGCTGTTGATGACAGAGATTGTTGATGACATCACTTGAAAATCCAGTACTAGAATGATGCCTTGTTCTTGCCTCTGCTTGATTTAACTTCCTCTATTGAGCTGATGTACCTCTTTAAAAGCTGTAGCTATTTTATCACACAATTAAATCAACAAAGGGGCCAACTTCCTCATATGAAATGAGTGGAGTTCGTGGAATATTGTTCCAAACTTGTTGAAAGAAGCTTCATAGTTTATCGCAAGATGATCTCAATAAAAGTTTGAAGCAGAGGGTTCCTGAGATAGAGAAGGAAAAAAGATGGATGCCCTGAAAGAATTAATTTTTCATTGATGTTTCTGAATCAAGATCATCTTTTGATGCTGCCAGCGTGACGAGTGACCCTCACTGCCGCCGGAGCTGCTCCCTTTGCAAAGCTTCTGATGAGTCCGAGTTTCAATAGATGATTGAGCATGGTCAAGGAGCTGCCGGGATACTCGCTTCTAAGATGTGCTCGCAGAGGACTGCTGAACCATTTTAGTAAAAAGCTTTTCCATCGAAATGAGGACTGCTGAACCATTGCTTTGGGAAGAAACTATGGACTTCAAAGATGCGCTCGCAGAGGTTGTACAACTAGTACTCGAGTTGAAGAATGTGAGAGTCACGGATATGAATAGCTTCCCCTAGCAGGGAAGAAAGGTATGTTCTAGTCCCAGGTTAGATGAACTTGCAAATGTTACCGGAGGCGGCCTTCCTAACTGTATACATCTGGCATGATTGAACTAGTTGCTAAGAAGGCTAATCTCTCATATGTTAAAAGAAAAGATCGACAGAATGTTTTTTCTAATTTACCCCATATGTTCATTGCAATGACCGTTCAGAAACACGAAATGCATTTTCTGTGAGCTGGCAAATGCACGAAAGAAAAGCGATTGATGAATCTTCAGTTGGGCATTTAATAACTTGTGTAATGGAGCATTGTGCTCTAACATAGAGTGAATTCTTGAAACTGGTTACAGAGAGGAAAGAAAGAAATGAGGATAGAAACTAGCAATTGCCTTGATACAGACACAAATTTCTATTCAACAACATGGGTGCTTCACCCGGAGATTCAACCCAATCTAACTTGAGTAAATCTAAGTTATATATTCTTCTAGTTACTGCTATCACTATGGTGGTTGTTAGTGTGGATGGTGGCATTGATGTTATTACTGCTGTGATGGTGGTGGTTATTGTTCCCAACTCTCCTACTACTACTGGTCTTGAGCTGTGAGAGCTCCAATTGCGTTTTCATGAAGAACTGCATTCTCTGCAATTCCAGCTCTTTGGCAAACTTCATCCTCTGCTTTTCCATGTCCACCAGCTGCTGCAGCTTCGAGCTCTCAGCTTGCTCGTAAGCTTCCCCAAATTTAAGTATAGCTCGAGTCAGCTCCCTCACTGAATTCCCCCAATTCTTCCCCACAACAACACTTGCTTTATCTGCACCTCCCTCTCTCCCCCTGTTCGTTCCAGGCCCAGCAGGCTTTACTCCTCCTCCCAAATTCATCAGCTCCCGCTGATTCCTCGGCCTCTTCCTTTCGTACGTTGCAGGTGGAAAATCATCAGCCGAGTCAGGCGAACCATCGGGCTCGGACTCCTCATCCGAATCCACCGCAGGAGGAGGGGGAGGCCGTTTCCGGAACTGCTGCTTCTGCTTCTGAAGGTGCTGTTGTGGAAATTTCTCTTGCTGCTGCCTCAGCTGAGGAGCTGATCTAACTCCCATCGGGATTCCCATAGGAACTACCCTTTGGCTTCCGGAGTAGGACGGCCCTGCCCCCGCGCCACCCCCGGAAGCCAGTACGGAGGAGTTAAGCTTAGCAGAAGGTCCAATAAGCTGATCAAGCCTCTCAAAGAAGGGCCACTTACTGGGGCCACCACCGGCGGCGATCTTGGCCTTCTCCAGCTTGTACTTCTTCTTGACGGTATCAATCCGGTTCTTACACTGAATATCAGTTTTAGGGGCTTTGGTGTAGTCTTCGCGGCTGCTGACGATATCAGCGACATCCTTCCAGTGCTTCTGCTTAAGATTCCCCCGGCTGAGCTCTAGATACCTTTCTCCCCAGGCGTCAATTAGCACCCCGGTGGCCCCTTCGCTCCAGCAATCCTCCCTCCCACCACCTCCACTATTTCCAGTAGGCTTCGTCTGCTGCTGATGTTGTTGTATGGGTAACGCCAGAGTTAGCGTGTTCTGAGAAGGCGGAACAGCAGCCACCGTCACCGTTATCCTGCCGTTGGGACGCGGTGACACCGGAGATCCGGTACCTCCCGATGGATGTGACTGAGTTTCTTCGTCGTCTTCCATGCCGGAGGTCGAAATCTCGCAGCGATCTAGAGGGAGAGAGAGAGAGAGAGAGAGAGAGAGTGTGTGTGTGTGTGTGGGCGAAGGCGTCAGAGGGAGGGGAACAAGTGCGTGACTGTGCGAGAGAGAGAGAGAGAGAGAAGGGAAAGGAGAAAGAGGGGGTTTGGTTATTTAGGGCTTATTGTAGGTTTTAGAGAGAGGTTGACCGGCGGAAATTAATGACCGGGGAGGGGGGACGTTGTTTTAAGGCTGACGACTTTGCAACGGATGTAGGAGTAGGTTAAAAATTGCAGGAAAAGAGACCGGGAACGGGGGAAGCAAAAAAATTGCAAGCACGCAAATTGGGCTTCTATTTTTTTTTTTTAAAGTGTTTTGGGATTTTATCGGTTGACGGAAAAGAACGAGTTGGAAGGGGAGGAGGGTGACGGCGTCGGTAAAATGAATGAAGGAAGGGGGTGGGACACGTGGAGGGAGAAAAAGGGGATGGTCCGAATACTTGTTCGGATGTTATTGGGTTGGTTACTGGGAGACCGGTCATCGGCGTGATGAAATGATGCCTCATCAGTCTCCTCCACAGCCAGCCCCATCATAGTCGTACTATTATTACTACTACGACGACCACTAGAGCCCTTCGCCTCCTCTCTTAGTCTTGGCAACTACTACTGCCGGCTGGCTTGGTGGACCTTTTCCCCTGTTTTTGTCTGCTTATCTCTATCCTCCCTCTGCCATTTCTGATTTTTTCCCCTTTTTTCCTTTCTTTTTCTTTTTTCTGAAGGCAGGCACGGCGTTAATCGGTTGCAGGCACTTAAGCACTACTACTACTACTACTAATACGCTTCTCTTTTTCTTTCACCAACTGGACTTTGCTTCTTCATCTTTGTGTCCGTTTTCAGGAGAGAGTTGTTCTTGGTTGGTGGAAGCTGTCTGTGGAGAATACTTGGAAGCCAAAGGGCTCTCTCTCTCTCTCTCTCTATACAAGACTAGAACAACTACAAATGGTAAAATCCCGGCAACTGATGATACCAGCGGCCATTCCGATGAATTCGATTAATCAATCAAGGGTCTGTAGGGAAAAGTGGATAGGTTCGCTACATCAGCTTTCATTGAGCACCAAAATCTAAATGCAAGCCAATTCAATGCTAGTACCAGACTCCTCTCGCTATAAATCCTTACCATCTACTCACGTACCACTATTTGCTTACTAGCAATTATTATTATTATTACTACTATATATTTTTGGCCTAAGGACACCTTAATTTCACTCAAATTCACGTGCTCGAGTATCATAATAAATTCACACATTATATGATTCTTCAAAAAAATTCAGACGGGTGCGTAGTGTATTCGTTTGGTTCGGTGGTGGTTTTGTCCCCATCAGTTCTCCGTAGGTTTAGTTGAGCCTCCCTCTAGTTAGATTAGGATAGAATAGGAGTATGGATGATAATTGATTAAAAAAAAAAAAAAAAACCTGCCAAGAAACAATTGAGGAGAAAATTATTGGCCGGACTCGAACCCTCTCACCGTTCTGTCTAAACGGAGCTTAACGGCTTACCTGGCGGCAACGGCCCCGGTGCTCTGCTACCGCGTGTGCTGATGTTGTAGCATGGCTTGGTACCACAAATTGGTGAGCAAAAATTGGGGACGATAATTAATCTCGCTTACACGTGTTGTTGACGATAGTGAATTTGGATACATAAACATTACTTAGAATTTAAATTTTACCATGCAACGTCTATCCAATTTTGCTAGCAGCGTATAAAATATTAATCTTTAATATTTTTTATTGAGAAAAATAAAAAGAAGCCAGTGTAAACTCTTTCTTCTTCTTCTTCTTTTTTCGCGCATTCCTTGGGATAAAAATAGTAAAGCAATCAATTCGACATTGTGAAAATGCAAGTTGGTTTAAGACTGAACAATTCTCGAATGGGGTTTGATGATGAAGTGCAAGCTGTCGAAGGGCCAAACGATTCAAGTATCAACATTCCGTTCAATATTAATTTGGACCTCACAAATACATAGAAGGAGATTGAGCATTGCATGTTGCTCCAAGCTGAAGAAGAAGGGACTTAATAGATCCGCCCCATAGATTGGGCCGCAGCGCGCTTCCGTGAAGCGTTTCATTTCAATTTTCTTAGTTCAATCTCTGCCCACAATCCCTTCACGGATTCGAGTCAAATAACTAAGGTTTTTTCTCTCTAATTGGCGTTCTATTAATTAGGATATTTTATTTAGTTACTTAATTGTTGGTTATTAGAAATAAATGGCTAGCTGTATAAGTTACTTGGACCACTAGATTAGTAATTCTAATGGAATAAATGATGTAATTCATGTTTGATTCGAATTTAGACTAGTTTAGATATCTTGATTATAAATAACTTTACTCTAACCTTGTAATAGTGGTTCGTTAGACAAATTTCGGCAAATAATGAGAGCTTTCTCTTGGTTTTATTGAAAACTTTTCTCCAATACTTTAGAATTAATTTTAAGCATTTAAATCAACATGTTCGCAAATGCGAAAATTAGAAAGGTATTTAGTACAAACTTGAGTATCAACATCGAGATTTGAACTTGTGAAATCGGAGTTTCGTTTTCAGTGGCCGGAGGAGGGTTCGTGTTAGGGTTGGAGCGAAATCAATTGATTTTTTTTTCTAAAAAGTGCATTTGTAAAATGGGATGCTGATATTAGCGGTGGTCGCACAGAGCGACTGTCTGAAGCCGAAGGGGATGAAAACGTGGCGGTGCTGGCTTTTGGGGATCAGACGATGGCGATGATGATGTCAGCAGGAGTCCAGAAACAAAAGAGGGCGGACACCTTCTCACGGGGTGTCCCAATCATCAGCTAGTAAAATGGATAAATCAAAGAAGCAGTGGCGTGGATGTGTTGGTGGCTTAGCAGACGTTCATTTTTAAAGGTAGTACTGCATTCCTCAGGTGAGAGTAATGGGCTCATGGCTTTGGGCTTCAAGTTTAAAAGCCCTTGCAAAAGCTGAGAGAAATCCAAGAGTCTTCCCCACCATTTCCACTCCGATTGTTCTAACATCACAAAGAACAGGGTAGTTTGATTTCATATGCAAGTACAACGGCTCTAGTACGTTTTCTGGGTCCGGAAGAAATTCATTCATGTTCAGCCTTAACGTACGTTAATATTTGCAATTAAACCTTCTCTCTCTTTTTTTTTTTTTAACTCAGAATATACCTCGATTCGAACTCTTAGGATACGAGCCGGCACATCAAACCGGTGAAATGTGCCACAGCCCCACGCAGCGATTCCAGACGAGTCACGGGAGTTCAAATCCAAGATAACATTCGAACCCGTGACCACAAGGATCTTTAAGACCCGCTTACCGCTGAATTGTTCAGCCACGTGAGAGCAATTAAACCTTCTTCGTTGACCGAAGCTGTGTGTATGTTTGCTTCGTGTTACTGGAAGGCATACAGCTTTCTTCCACGGCCTCATTGGCAAAAATGTTTAGGATCCCAGTGACAAAGACAGGACAGGACATGCATGCGTGCGTCACGCTTTAATTTCTTCGTGATATAACTCTCACTTTCAGTGTTGAAAGTAGCTATATATAGAACAAATTTTTATGAATCCGACGACGCGTAACATGTAAGTGCAGTGATTTGATCCTTACATTTTCTTTTGCCGATCGCTAAAGAGCAGACATTCTCTGGTGACGGCCAGGTCAAATTTAATACGTACGCATCAATCTAGCAAAGTTATTGATGATAACTTTGACAAATCTAAATGATAGAAGAAGTTTAACCATTGCATTTCGAGACTCTCTCTCGATCGAAGATATTGCAATTGCAGCAGCTGCCATCACCAGAAAGTGAATAAGCTCAGCTTGGGTCGAACCTTAATTCTTTTAAAATTGGGAAGCTTTCCATTTTTTTTTCTTTTATTTTGATTCAACCTAAATATCGGGTGACATCAAAATATGCTCGTCTCTAGATCGATAACACCCATCCAAAGTGTTTGTAAAACAGGCAGATAGCTGCATCCGTATCATCCGGTGCAGAAATTTCATTGATTAGCGAGCACAACTCAAACAAGATACATGCGTAACTAGAGCCATGCTCTATGTACAGAAAAGTCAACAAAAACACTAGTAGAAAACCAACCAACCGGTCCAACCCCCTCGCTCTAACCATGCTGCTGTCCTATATTTACAATCATATATACACACACACACACCATGAGATAGAGATATGATAAAAGAAACTTTTGGTTTATTTTAGTAGTATATACTTTGGGGGGACGTATGTACAAAAAGGAATTTGCCTTGGCGGGTGTAGCTGGCATCTAATTTCCCAGACAAAAATGGTCACCTCTCGCTTCTCTATTAACGATCCAAAGCGCTTAGTACAATCCTGCAGTTGTATCATTACACCACGCGTGAGAATCCTGAAACCTTACAGGTAATTACATTAGCATACTGGAAAAACGTTTAGCCACCCCCCCCCCCCTCTTTTTCCTTTTTTTTTTTTCCTCAAATGAATCCAGCTTTGATGTTGATTGCAATACAGATAAATTGATACCAGAAAATTATTATCCCATTTCTTTAACCGCACTAAAGAATTATCACTATATTAGCATCGTGTGATCGATATTCGATCGTACAACAGAAGAAGACAAAATATACCTCTCCGTGTACTCCTTTTTTTGTTGTTTTTTTTTGTTGGGGGGGGGGGGAGGGGGGGGAAGGAGGAGGGAGTTTGAAAAAATAACAAAATTGTTGCAACGAGATCATGCATAACTAAAGTCAAATGAAAAACCAAAAAGGTGACGGAGAAGAAAATCACCAATCGTAGCCCGCCGGGCTTTTTGGCTCCCCTGGTTGTAAGGCTGCCGAATTGGATTTTCTCCTCGTCAACTTCTTAAAATTTCCACCATGACCAGGAGCAGTCGCTACACCACACCCAACCGGAGGCCCAAAAAAAAAAAAGAAAAGAAAAGAAATGAAGAGAAGCAGCAGAAAGGTTTCAAGACGAGAACAACACAAATCGTTTAAAGAAAAACACCTCTGAATCCCGAGTCGCATGCAAAAGACTTACGTGAAAGTGGAGAAGTTGGGGTGGTAGAAGCAGAAGCAGCGGGAGAAGAAGGGACGGAGCCGGAATCAGGGGTAGCAGAGGCATATCGCATGGTAGGAGAGTTGCCACGGAGGATAGTAATGCTCCGTGAAACAGGGATCAGATGATCATCCACTGATCCCATCATCATGGTAGCTGGAGCAGCTGGTGCAGATGGACGAGCGCCAGAAAAGGAATTGTACTTGCGGAGTTTGCCAAGCCCGGATTCAGGTGTTGGCCCGGCAAGCGTTTCGTCCCAGAGCTTGTGGAGGAAACCCATGTGCTTTTACGGATATTTTTAGTACTGTTTCTTTTGTAACAACCGAAATAGGGTGATGCTATGTCCTGGGTTTAGCAGCACTAATACGTTGGTGACACCAAACGATATACGACTGTTACAAAGAGGAAAGAAAATGGTGTGTTTTCTTTAAATTTTTTTTCTTTTATGCTTAAAAGCTAAAAGCAGGAAGGAACTGTTCGGAAGTTCTAGGCTTCTTATAGAAGAGAAGAGAAGAGAAGAGAAGAGGAGGAGAGCGTAACAGAGAAAGTTGGATAAGATTGGCTGGTATGGCTTTGGGTAAGTGGGTGGCTCCGGCTAATATGGCTTGGTTTGAAGCCATTGATTTCTTAATTAATGGAGGTCTGAGCTCCAATGTGAAGCGGAATTAGGTACGGTAGCTAATTATCAAGTCGAGTGATAAAATTCAGGCTCTCCCCTTACCTTTAATAACAAATGATAATAATAATAAGATTCTCTGTCCATCATTCAAATCTCAACGGCTTCGAGGGAATCAATAATACTTTGTTCATGGCTTCTATTAGGTAGGACATAAATGTGTGGTCGGTGCCCATAATATTTATGAACGTTTAAAATCACAAGTTCATATATTTTATTGTTCTTTATCATATTTTTCTTTTGAAGCCCAACCTCAGAAGAGTGTAATCCACACAAACAAAGGCAATTAAAACTTGTAGAACCAAAAAAAAAAAATATATATATATATATATCAAAAAATTATAGTAGGAAATAAATTTCATAAAATCAATATATATGTGGAGCCAAATTACACACATAAAATTATGTGTGAAATTTTTTAATAAAATATTAATTCCTAAATAATAAATTATCGCAACTTGATTCCAATACAATTACTGATACTTTAACTTAATTAGCACGTTGCCATATAATAATATGAAATTTTTTTTTTTTTTTTTGCATCTTGAGTTAATATGCAAACTTAATTGCAGCGAAAATAGAATGACTAGTGTGAAAATTAATAAGAGATTACTTAAATTAGACGTTAGATAGACTTCTTGCATGTGAAGCATAAGTGCGAGATTAGTGACACCAATCATTGGTTTAATTTTTAAGCATTTGTGCATGTTCGCATTAGACTTTCATATTCAATAACAGAAATAGGCTGCTAGTAGCAAAAATGTAAAATATGATGGACTGGGTAAGAAATAAGACATAGTGAAAATTTTAGTAGCACAAGTGAGTATTGAGGGAAATTCAGCTGTTTAGCCGCTAGTGGAGCTATGTGGAATGAGTCAGTTCGAAGCCACGAGTAGTGTAGTGTTAGTGTACTAGGTGTAGTGTAGTGAGATGAGAATCGAGATGAGAGGTAAAAAGCAGGCGGGGATGGTTCCTTGAGTCATTCATTCAACCGATTTTCGGAGCAGAAAAAGATGGAGACAGGGGACGGTGACTCGGTCATATCCTTCCAAATTCCACAGGCTGGCCCCGCCATTTTCTTTCTTCCATCTTTTTTAACTTCTTCACTGCAACACGCCAATCTCGTCATCACTCATCATCAGATAAGGTTGGGTTCGGTTCAAGCGTAAATTACCTATTTTTCCTTGAGAAATTTGAGCTCCATGGGACCCGGCCCATGCTTGATGGTCACTTCGGAGATAGTAACGTACTACTCTATCGCCCTTTCCCTCCCCGTTTTTCTCTATCTCACATCGATTGTGAGTGACGTGTACGTCCTACTTAAGATCTTCAATATAACCTGAAAATCGATATGCCTTTTGAATTGGACTGTGAATTTTTCATAGATAATATGTGCGTGTGTTGTTTACGATTGTTGGTGAGTACTACTCTAGTTCATTCACAAGGATTTGTGCATCCTCAATCAATTTCCCTTTCCTTCGACCTCTTTTTGTTTGTCATGCGAGTAAAGTTTTCCAAGTACTCGCTTTAAAATAAGTCACTAGTACTCGCATCATTTATTTTACGTTTGCGATTAATCTTGTTTGAATTGTTTTGATTTTCTTACGAGATTGAAGTTTTTCTCTCCCAATGTAGTTCTTTTTATTTTCATGGATTTCAAAGTCGAAACCTCGTGATCAATGGACGTAAGCTCCTTCCATTTGCACTAACATTTGAAAAAAAAAAAAAAAGGTTTCCTAAATACGTACTGCTAAACACGGATCAAGATCAAGGTATCACTCTTTATTCACGCATTTAGATGCGATAAAGAGTTTGATTACACGCCATTTTTTCTCTCCTGCTTTCTCTTCTTCAAATAATCACCCTCGATTGCATCTCTGCATTTTGTGACAAAATCAAAGCGCATGTCCCCTAGTTGTTTTTTTTATTATTATTATTTTAACAAGCAAACAAATATATAGGGCGTACGCATGGACGTGCGAACTATTAACAACTTCGATTTGCAGAATCATTTTGAAGCAATTGAGACGGATCCCATGTTCCAGTTAACAAAAAGGTCTTCATTCCCTATGGTCTCGTGCATTGCCATTCCCCATTTGTGTGTGCGTAAAGGATGGTATAGATCAGCTATTAAAAGGGTGAGCCAAACGGGTTATTATAGCAAGAATCAGCACAGTCGGTGAGACGTGATTTCTTCGGGGTGATTTCTTCGGTGGCCGGCCCAAATCTAAATTATCCCAAGTTTATATTCCGCCATCCTCTACTTAGGCTATGAGTGTACCAATCAGTCCTGGCAAAACATAAAGACTCGACTTCTGGAAGGTAGTCCGACTTCAATCGTACAACTGTCGTGTTTTGTCCTCAAATGTGCAACGTGAAACCTAATATCATAGCGAATTTGACTGCATTGAACCAAATTTGATAGCCCATTTTGCAGAAATCCCAATTCCCAACTCAACTTTGTCGAGACGCTGCTCTGCTGCTGCCTGTAAGCTGTAACCAATTGATTGCATTGAACATTTGAACATTCGTGCCCTCCCATTGTCTTTTTACGGATCGTTGTCCCCCCAAATCTCCATCAATGCTTCCAATTATTGCTTTTAGGGAGGCGAAACTTTTCTTTCTTTTCTTTTTTCTACCGCTTTATCTTCTTAGAGAAATTGCTACTGAAGCAGGAAGCCTGAATCAACCACCCCTACTGATATTATGACTTGACCATTTCTGGAAACTTAATCAATCACCATCTACTGCCATCATTTTATAAAGGGGATTGATTACCACCAGCATTTTGTGACTCTTGCTCCCTCCTGATCAGCGTAATTTCTGTTAGTATTTGGTTGGTAAATGTCCACGGCACGCAACAAGCCTTTGAACCTTGTTGCAGGAAAACTGGCAAAGCTGGATGAGGAGGTGATTTTTGGTTGGTACCTAGACCGACCTGGATCAGTCCTCTCTAAGATGAAATGAGGTGAACTCCTGTGTCCGAAGTGAACCTCGGTGTCCGAAGTGAGTGGCGGGGCTTCTCCCCTGGGATCACTCCGACGATCAAGTTAGTATGAGAACGAGAATAATGAGAATATGAGTTAATGAACAGTGTAGGCTTACTTGTTGGGAGTGTGTCTGGGGTATTTATAGAGGGAGAGTAGAGGACAGAGCGGAGGGCTTATGCTGGTGGGACCCACCCTCTGGTCATTACGGCTCTGTCCCGTGTCAGGAGGTTTGACTCTGACACTGTAGCTGCCTGAGCATGATGACGGGGTGTATTGTGCAGGTGCCATTAAGTGCTTCCAGTGCTTTTCAGATAAAGCACTGGTCCTGGGTGATGTCAGGTGGTTTGACATCATCAGCGTGCAGCTGAGGTGGGGGTGCCGAGGTCGGCTACACAGTAGGCTAGGGAAACGGCCGAGGCCGAGCTCAGGGGTGATGCCCGGGACACGGATGAGCTCTGATGAGGGACGAGGTGAGTTCACCTCGGCCACTCGGGATGGCCGAGGTGAGCATCCTCAATAAGCCCCCCAAGCCTCGGATGCTCCGAGCAAGGGAGGTGCCGAGGCTTCCTTGTGCTGAAGTCCTGAATAGTCGAGGTCCCGAAACTGCCCCGGAAGATGCGGAGACGTGACACGTGGGCGAGTCATTTGACAGGACGTGGAGGGTCGGTTGACACGCAACCGTCATGTCGTGAAGTAGTGGGACGTTTCGTGATGATGGGGTGTCAGTCGAAAGGACGGGTCATTAATGAAGAGAGAGAGTGCCACGGCGTTTTGAATTCGAATGTGGTCGTCTTTTCGTATTCTTGTCACCTCTTCGGATTCTAGCCATCCCCTATAAATAGGGGGTCCTTTTCACCACATGGCCCATCATTTTCTTCTTCTGCCCGCGACTTGCAAAATTTGCGAGCGTTGCCGAGATCAATCCTGCCAGCCGAAGTCACAGCCGAAGTCATCCACTTCGTCCAGTTCGGTATACAATAGTAAGTATCCCTTTTCCTTCTTATCTTGTCTTTCACACATGGCTAAAACCGCGAAGACCCGTAAGGAAACCGTGTCACCGAACTACCAGGCCGAGGTGAGGCCAGATCCTGAAGAAGAAGCGACGACGTCCAGCTCGGAGGGGTCGACACCGAGTTCAGAGGGGTCGACCGAGGTGAGGGTCGGAGAGACAGCCTCAGAGTTGGAGTCGTCCGAGATGAGTGAGGGTGGTTCCGAGGTCGAATACAATACCGAGCTCGGGACCGAGATACCCCATGACGAGGGTGTTCCGGGGCCAGTTGCTCCAGTGGACGCAGCCGACATCGACTTCGGCCAGATGCCGAAGTTTAGGAGTCGCGTAGGAAGAGATAGGGCCGTGAAGGTGGTAGACAAGTACCCCTTCCGGCCGTGGTACGAAATTTTGCCGCCCGAGGTGGATGACACAGCCGCGAAACCCCCCTTTGGCATGGTGGCCGTCTACGTTCAACAGCTGGAGGCCGGGCTGAGGATGCCGACGTCGAGGTTCCTCCGGGACTTACTGCGTCACTTCCAGGTGAGAATCACCCAACTCACCCCGAATGCGATCCGCATCATTGTGGGGTTTGAAATGCTGTGCCGACATCAGGAGGTGACTCCCTCCGTCGATCTCTTCCGCCGATGCTACACCCTCAAGGCGCACGCGACGGATAAGGGATGGTTTTATGTTGGCAACCGGAACAATGCCATCCCGAAGTTGGTGATCGGTGCTCCGAGCTCGATCAAGAACTGAAAGCGCGACTACTTCTTCGTGTCCGGAGTGGACTTTCCGAGGGGTTTTTGGTGGAGGCCAATTAAGGCGAAGGCCGACCCCTCTG